ATATTTGATGAGTAGTTATTTTTTTAAAATTTAATTGATTATAAGGTTAAAAAGATTTATAATCAATTAAAATAATTAATGAAGAAAATAGAATAAAAATTATTAAATTAAATTCAAATGATGTTTTAAATCTTGTTTCAATCTTTAACATCTTATAGCTACGTGATTAGGGTTGTCAAAATGATTTTGTTCGTGAACGGCTCGTGTTTGGCTTTTTAAGCAAACGAGTCTCGCTAACACTCCTATATATATAATACATTGTAATTAATCATTAAATAATGTAATCATTAATCTAAATAATGATGTAATAATTAGATATTAAAAAAGAAAAAAGATCATAATTAGTAATTTAAATTTAATGTTTCAAGCATCGTCCATCATTCAGATATATATATCAAAATGACAGATTTACATCTGCGTTTCTATGTATTTACACATCTAACAATTAAACTTTAATTTTAATATATACGCCATCTTAATTATGCATGAATATGTACATTAATTTTCATTCTTTAAAGCTAAAAATAGCTATATTTCTTTTATATGAAATATCTGGGGGTTATAAATATAAAAAAACAAATTCTGGATAGATATGTAAATAAGTAGGAATTTGTTACTATATATTTAAATGCTGTTTACATATTTAATTCAAATGTTTCTAGAAGATTTTTTAAGCGGTTGGATAAATATCAAAACAGCTTGAATATTAATCATGATCGTATGAAGTTGTTTTCATGTGAAGAGAAATATTTATTTTTTAAGTTGTTTTATTAATTACAATATTTAAAAATATTAATTATATTTTAAACCTTTGATATACTATATCTTTTCACGCACATCTATGTAGAGAGAGAGAGAGAGAGAGAGGGAGAGAGATCTGTGTTTGATGCATACCCGGTCTGTTGGTGTCATCTACGGTATAAGATCCCTCAGGTCAGGAGTTTGAATCCCCACTGACGCAGGTGACCTTAAAAAAGTGGTACTCAAATTGTTAAGCACATTAGTAGTAGTTGGAGGCTCATATAATAGGTTCTAGTCATTTCTTTTTTTAAGTATATATGGGCATTTGCTTGTCAATTGTAAGTTTTCTCTGGTCTAGGGTTTTATTTCCCCGGTAGAGGATGTGATACTCGAATTGTTTGACGCATCAGAGATGATCGAAACTTGTATAATAACCTCATACCATTCATTTAATTATATATATATATATATATATATATAGATAATGTTAAAAAATTCAAGGAAAATACATTCCCTATAACACGAGGAATTCAATCTCTATCACTTCTGAGGACAGATGTCAATGACGGTAATGTCGCGGCTGGAGAGGCTTGATCTGATGCTGCTGTGCTTGGAGGAGATAAAAGTGGGCGGCGGCGGGGGTGGAAGCGGGCGGCTGAGCTCCGGCTTGTCGGCGGCGGGATCGAGCGGCGGGGGGGGGGGGGTGTTG